TTCAGGATTAGGTGAAGATGGGGACAGGGGAGACCTTTGCGCTTTCGCTAGTTGCTCACTATTCCTAATAGGCCTCACTTTGAGTGAAGCTGCGATTTTGCTAGTGCGAACTACTTTGGTCACAGGAATTCACAAGGTGACCTGTACAAGTGAAGCTGAGTATAATTCGATGCCCCACCAGTCCCGAATTGCACGGAGGGCTTTTCGGCGCGCGCATTCGAAAGGACAGTTGATCAGAGTGCTCACTGGCTTCATAAGTCATTCTTTGAGCCCCGTGTGTATTGAAAGCAGAACACGCGCCCTGTGCCGCGCGAGAAAAAAAGGAATCTTTCTCCAAACAACCTTCCCCGACGTACTTTTTCCCAGAAGAACCTCCATCCTCCCAATTAGGATTACTAAGCGTGTACCATGTCCTTGAAAGACTTCCTCAATATGTGTGCGGTTCTGAGTTGATGAAAGATGCAGGACGTCTTACCAGTAAATTGTTGTGCGCTACATGCTTGTAACATGTAGATTTTTCATTCATTTCTGAAACTGTATGGGTACCCTTTCTAGGATGGAGCGCAAGGGTTCCTCGTTGTGATGAGGGCGACGAAATAGGCTTCACATGCAGCGTCACGTACGCGCCATCTGCACCGGGGAATTTTTTAATGTCTAAAGAAGAACTGTACCCTCACCTCCGAGGACGGTCCATACCATGGGCGAAGTCAGTGACTGAGTAGCAGCCACTTTCCCCGCTCAAAAGTGCACAAGAACAGGGCTGTAGAATAGCGATATTCCATTGCAGTATGTACAGGGGGGGGGGGCAAAAAAAGTCACTTCGACCGAGTCACATATCAGCAAAGTTTTCGCTGCCCAGACAGAGGACGTGGATACGAGTACCAGGGCGGAAGATACCCAAGATGTTCCTCTATAAGCAGGAGCTGGCTCTCGCCCATCACCTTCATGTACACCAAAATATGAAGTCATCTCCAGTCGCAGCCTGACTGGCAGAGGAACGACCTTTGGAATTCGTGTCCCTCCAAACAGACTGCCGAAACTGACTCACCCAATAGATACGCTCACCTGGAGGAACAGTATCTCTCGATCTGGAGGACCATCCAACACGCAGCAGCTGCCGACACGTGCGCCGCATCTACGGACATCATCTTCCCACAGTGCCAGAAGGCGCGGGTAGATGGTATGGACCGGAACTTGGAATGGAAAGACCAATATTTTCTTCGTGGACCCCGGACTGAAGGTGAGCGCTGGCGGTTATGCGACTCGCGAACTTGGAATATGGAAGCCCGATAATTTCTTCGTGGAAGGGGAGCCTGTGCGGTCTTACACTTGAGCAACTCGAGAAGAATATCCTCCCACATGTCGTCGCCCGTACCTTCTTGGAAACTTTGTACTGCTACAGCATTGGGTGCCACCACATGGAATCGAAGGGCATTGGAGAAACTCTCGCCTACTTGGAATGGAAGAGGGCTGAATACCTAAGGAAGGATGGAATATCCAAGTAGGTCACCTGGACCTGAATCCCCTCAATTACCCCTTCGGTCGTTGTTACGACCAGAGGGTGGTCTACGGTGGCGGAGAAATCGACTATCTCGCTGATCTCAGGCACCACATCGCGGTCGCGTGCCAGAATCTCTCGATGGCGCTCGTCCAGAAGGCTGTGGCGGAGTGTCATGATAGTATTTGATATGCTCTTTAATATGGTGGTAAAGATCGTCCGATCCAGAATGCTAATAAGTGTAACTCTATTGGTGCCGTTGAAGTCAATGAAGAAAAGCTGACTCTTTTTGCCCCCCCGCCCCCCGTGTACTTTGCCCGTTTAACCTCGATTGTGCAGGACTTGCGACCATACTTATATCCTGCAGTGAAACGCATCTGTAGAGATCCACAGAAAGGAGAGGGAACAGATAAGGAGCGCTTTTGGCTAGGACGGTTAGGCGTGTGGTGGTCGTTAGGACTCGAAGCGGAGATGAAGGAGGCACCCGCACTCGCATTCCCTTCCCGTCATCTTCCCTCCACAGGACGTGACACCCGGTAATCGCAGCCAGAGGACCACATTCACCCCCGAAAACGGTAGAATACCAGGTGGCACGTGTACAGTTGTGTACATTTTGCCTTCAAAACAAGTGCAGCTACAAATAACTAGCTAGTGAGATTACTCTGCGATTGTGCACGTCTACCCGCCCGCATCGCTGAACTACGCCTCACCTGCCCCTCCTGATGATTTCAAAATTCGTATGCAAATCGAATGGCTTACCAAACATCGGATTTGTATGGATCGTACGGCTCGCCTTTCAATATTTCCGGTGCAGAATACGATTTTGATCCGCAGTACGTTTCGGAAAGGGCATCACCTCGTATCACCTGTTACTCATTACATCTTCCTTCGTGATACTAACTCCCTACTGAATAATCTCGGTAACACCTACACTTCGAGCGAAGCCGAAGTCACTGATTTTGATGATCCCTTCGTCCGGAAAGATGACGATGTTTTCCAGTTTTAGATCGCGATGTACAATTCCACGCTGAATTGTGTCGCAGAACTTTATGACGTGCTCAAAGATTCAGTGCTTTTCGCTGCGTCAGGGGAGGGGCTGGGTCTGACGTGGCGCCAGCTTGTTTTACACCATTTGTCGCTAGGTCGCTCCAACAGGTGTATGAGAATGAGTTGGCGTCGCGTCAACCCAGCCAACCTTCCCGACACGCTGCAGCATCCGCAGCCAACAAGACAGTACAAGCCGCGATAAGCGGATGAGCAAAATTCACATGTGTTGTACGTTCCTCTTTGGCGCCCCTTCTTCTAACACGGTAGAAAAGGGTGCACGAAAGAGGAAGCACAATGGTCACTGGTCTCCGCCCCTTTCTGCACCTGAACGCCCATCGCGGAATACGTCTTCACTCGATTCTGACTATCTTTTTACTGCCATACTGTCTCTTACCGTATGCATGTAATACACTGCAGATATAACTTGAGACATCCAAATCATCGCCTGATGTTCTTTCACGGGTCCTTTCCTCTGTACATGTTGAAGCTGGAAATAGAAGTTGAGTGGAGTGGATAGTATTGGGGAGTTTGTGCGATGCTTATTGTCGAGAGCGAGAAAAACGGGCTATTCCTAGTCCGAAGTTACGTATGGTTATTATCCCCGCAAACGAGAGGGCGTGTGGAGGGGCGTGGATTGGGGTGCTTCCAATTTTCAGTGCCGCCCTGAACCGGCAACAATTGATGAAAAGGCGTTGCGTTTTGTGGGTGTAATGACTGCATATTCGCTTAGCTTCTGCCCGCCATTGTTGTGGACCTCAATGACAAGATTAGCAGTGTTATTAGAAGCGAGCGCAAGTCATTTTCCAGAAGTACTAGTAACACTTTTCGTTCATAATGGTTAGCTCCGAAATGGGACTGATACAAAGGCTAGGTGAATAAGTTGCGTTCCTGTTCGCTGCTGATGCTGAGGCATGTCAGAAGGCTGCGATTGGCGCGGTGCCAACCCGTTCTCCACCAGTTGTCACTTGCCAGTTTCAACAAATGCTAGAGAACGGACTGGCGTCACGCCAGAACCAGCCCTCCTAAAACGCCCATTTGCTGCGAACCAGACTGTGAATTTCTGCCTTTGAGCCGGAGATGTGAGGCGTGGTGTGCAGCGAATGGCGCGCTGAGAGTGATGTAGCAGGGTCAAACCGAGTTTCAACTCCGCTTTCGCTTTCAGAATGGTCGCCACAGCTATCCCTGCCTATCGGCGTTCTATTCCTTGCATCAAAGGCGGAATCGCGATGTTGGGGTTGCCACATGAGTGGAGGCTAACTCATCCACCGCTTGAAACTAGTGCGCGGAATACCCTCCCCCCATTTTGTTGATTTTTGACCATTCCACTACGTTTTTTCTTTCGCCTTGAGTACCTCTGCTCTCACTTTGAACCGCAAACTGAACTAGCGTATTTATTACATTTGTTGACAACGAGATCTGTCTCGTCGGGGAGCTGGATCTTGTGGGAGATTGAGTCCAGCTCAAGCTTGAACTCAACACAATCAATAAAGGAATGTCATTGTTTCCGATGAGCTCTATACGAAACGTACCATATCACCTCCTCTGGCGAATTCCATTGTAAGAAACACGTGTTGCATAGCTTCGTAATGACCAAGAATACGGACTAGATGAGGGTGATTGAGCCGCTTCCAACATTCAATTTCTCGTGGAAGGAATTTGCTACGAAATTCTTCTGTCACCTTCTGAGTGTTGATCATCTTGATGGCGACCTGAACACAGGAGGCTCAATTGATCGTATTCAAGTCCTTATATTCTAGATCTAGGAATTTTTCTTCCTGCTCAAGCTTCTCTGGATTTATTTTGGGTTGACTAGCCCCATTTGGGTGAGATCCGACGTAAAAGTTCTTAAAACCTCCGTTCTTCCCAGTCATCATGCAGTTTAGGACCTCGTTCACAGCCTCACGCTGCGCGACGCGGAAGTTTCTGTAGCAGGAGGTCACTATGCGATGTCGTGCCCTTCTGGACGCGTCGCCATCGTTTCGGGACGTTCGCAGCGGTTAAGGCCCGTCAAAACCTAGAAAGGGTGAGATAACTTGCGTTTGGATGGATGAGAAGCAGCAGAGCGGCAGGGGTTGCTCTTGAACTGATCAGCTGCACTTTATCGCGCCATGGATTCTGAGAGTGAGATGACTGAAACTGCTAACCGCATGTCCATTCGATACGAAGTGTCCTGTGATTACTTTACTGTATCTGCCACAACCAAGTTTTCGAGAGCTCCGCAGATCAATATTTTTCTCGAGGAACAGCTCACACAGTATCTCGTCTCGTGTTTTGTGTGCCCAATTGGAAACCTGAAATATGAAATTGTAGAGGACCTTCCACTCTTTCGTTTCTTTTTCAAAGGCAGTGGGCATGATTGCTTAGGGCGGGCCGTGGTCACCAACGTCATTGGTGGAAGGATTGGCGGGGTGTGGCTGGACACCCTCTCACAGCCTTTCGACCAATACGTTGGGGGCAACTACCCGCATTCAGCAATCGTTCCCTTGGCCTTTCAGAAGAGTTCACTTTGTGGCGAGACAGGCCGTGTGAGTGGTGCTATGACTTGTGCGCGACATTCGCACCAGGATCGGATTGGTTTGACCGCGGCTGGCGAGCATGTGGTGTCAAGACAACTGCCTTGTGCTCTGCTGGTTATGAGTGCGAATGTTTTGCCCTACTAGCGGCTATAATTCACAGAGAACGCCTGGCATGGAGGTACAGTTAACTTATTACTGTAAGCCTGACCTGTTTCTTCACTGTGGCAGTCGATGAACGGGCGGCTGCGGTATTCTCATCCCCTCGATCTGTTCTGTAGTAGCGATTGCGCCTCTGCTGGTCATTGTTCTTCAAATATTCGTGTTGAGCGGATGTATGATCTTCTCGTGGTTGTACTGCCTGTGCTTGCACACGAACTAATGGATTTCGACGAGAATGGTGCAGGTCAGCCTGAACGTGTATGGGTTGACGTTCATCTACGTTGAAGGCCAAATATACTGGACTCAGAGTCGTACTGCGATCAAAAATGGTGTGTGGAGGGACTCAAGTACGAGTAACGTGGTAGTCAGTGATTTGATGGTGAAAGGCAGGAAACCCTCCCGGAGTGCTCTAGATAAGATTCACTGCCGAGCCGAGCTTGCACAAGCTCAAGGGAAAGATAAGGTGTGCTTGAACTAGACATACTGGTATCACTAGATATCAAATATCTTCCCTTATCTTCTCACTGCCATCTTTGGAAATGGAAAGAGCTAGCAGCGGAACCGGACCACAAGGTATCCGTTAGTAATGAGCATTGGTCATTGTATGAGAGAGAGTGAGCGAGCCCTTGCCTTCGCATGAGCGAGTAGTCTTTAGGACGTATTTTTGACCGCGACAGAGGTACACTCCATATCGCAGAGATGAGGAGGCGTGGCTTCGCCCCTCCTTTGAACACGACGCTGGCTGCTGTTTTGATAGGATATTGTTGTGCTGGGACAGTTTTTGTCATGTTGTGGTTAGCGCAGGACGACGTGAAAGTGCATCAAATGGAAATATC